AGGCATGGTAAAATCTGGAAGTGGCTGTACAGAAATTGTGCAATGTCTGTAAATGAAAAGGAAATAATCCTTAGTACATTGGGGTGATTTGTCATCTTAACCAATATAACTTTCCCAAAATCTACCATATTTACTTGAATACAAGATGATGTTTTTCCCCTTCAGTCAAAAGGGGAGAAAAAACAGGTCTTACCTTGGATCCACATACCAGTGCTCTGGCTCTTCCCTGTCCAACCTCTGACCTCGGCCCAGGCTGCTACTGCTGCTGCTTCTTGAAGCATGCAGTCAGCAGCAATGCAGCAAGAGTGGGTAAAGGACCAGGGCTATGGTCTGGGATGGGCAGCAACATGGGTTGGTGATGGGTGCAGGGGATGGATGGCACTGTGGGTGGGCAACTGGGTGAGGGATCAGGGAGGGAGAAAGGGCAGGTCTGGGGATAGAGCAGCAACACCACATCCCTTGACCTATGCTTGTGATTAGGGGGCTGCAGTGTGTTGGGGGGTGAAGCAGTAGTGTGTGCTGCTTCCCCATCCCCCAACATGCTGATGCTCTATCCCCTGACCTACACATCTGATTGGCAGCAGCTGGGTCAGGGGATGTGGCAGCAGCGGCAAAATTGAAGGTAGGGCAGGAGCCCAGGATGGGGGGTAGGGCAGAACCATGTACTGCTTCCCTGACCCCTGCCCCATCCCCCAATGTGCTGGTGACTTATCCTCTGGCCCAAGCTTCTGCTCTGTCCCCCAATGCAGTGCTGCTCTATCTTCTGACCCATGTTGGCTAGGGGAGGTGGCAACAGTGTTTCTGGGTATAGGACAGCATTGCCCATGGGGGATAGGGTAGGGGATGGGGGATCAGGCCACAGCAGGGTTTGGGGATCAGGTGATTGGGCAGACAGGCAAGGCAGAGACATGGGGGACAGGCCACAGAGATATGGAGGGGGGGCAAATGGGGCAGGTAGCATTGGTGCAGACATGGGAGGCGAGTGGTGGGAAAGCAAGGTACGGACGTCAGGCTGCCTGCCCTCCTACCCATGGTTTGGGACAAATTTAAGATGAGCCTCCAATAATTAGATTTTGTACATGTACAGTTATAACAAATGTATATTTTTCCATGTATGTAATCTAACTATTGGGGGGGTCATCTTAGTTTCAGGTAAATAAGATACGTGTTCTCCTTGAATGCCCAGCTATCCTACCTGATCTGCTATAGTTGACTTGAAATGTAGCAGTGTGCGTTTGCAATGAAAAATATTACATATTTTCTGTGGCCATAGGGGTCAGAACAGGGGGCAATAGCTCTAAACTGCAGCACAGGAAATTTTGACTAGAGATTAGGAAGAACTTTCTGACTGATGGTGGTCAAGCCTTGGAACAGGCTAGGTTTTGAAATCTGCATCCCTCAGTTTTCAGGAGTGGTTTAGACAGACACGTGATGGTTTAGGGAGGAATGGTCCTGCCTCGATTGGGGGCTGGACATGGGCAGACCTAGAATTTTGAAAAAGGAGGTGCAGATAGTGAGGTGCATCATCACATATAACACAACACAGATTTTTCTCCAGGTACAAATAAACTAGAATCTTAAATAATGTGCCAGGGACCGAGGCTGTATTATTCAGTTTAAGATTGAAGCAAAAACCAGTCTAACTTAAAAACAACCTGGAAGGCTGTGAAATAGGAGCTTCATTATCAGGAGAAGAGAGAAGATAGCAGAACTTCACAACAAAGGCTAGTTTGATTGGTGGAACATGATGGCCATTAAGAAGAGAGGGTTATTAATACCCGTGAAATGAAGAATTTAGAAGCAATCAGGTTGATTATAATGAGGTATGAAATCAATTGACTCCCTCAGTACTGCCTGACTAGAAATGCTGCTGCTACTGCCAGGCAGTTGGTTTTAAACCCTTGGTGGATCAGGAATCAAAAGGAAGCGCAAATGCATCAGCATACCCTCCTGGATCGGCCCTTGGGGCTAGACAACATGACCTCATAATGTCTCTTCAACTCCTATTTCTGTATGATCAAGTGTGCATTATGTTGCATTTATCAGTAGGGTATTTCATCTTTTGCTTTGCTGTTTATTCATCTGGCTTCGAGGTGGCCATTAAATTCCTCAGAGTCTTCTGTAGCCTTGATTAATCAAATAATTTTGTTTGATCTTTAAAATTTGCCACCTTACTGTTTTTGTGCATACTCACTATCATTGAATAAAGTTGTTAAACAGCATTGACTCCACAATGTAAACTTTTGCTTTACTGACCATTTTTTTACCCCATTCTAAATTTTTGTGCATGGCTGTTTCAAATTTCTAAGGGCATGCAAGTATTTAACTCTAATCTTTGACTGTCTAGGTAAAAAAAAAAAATAAGATCAGTGTTAACAATTAAGATCTTAAAACAATATTTAGGGATGCAAACTTACGTGGCTGAATCTTTAGAAATGGTGAGCACCTATTACTTTAGTTGATATCAGCATGAACTGTAAATGTGGATCAAGGAACCTAACTAGACATTTACATTTGAGTTTTTTGTCCTCATAGCCTTGCATGTGTTTCATTTAGACCAAGTCCTTTTGAAAATCTAAATGAATTGTCAGCTGATTTAATTTACCATTTTGTTAATGTACAAACTTTGGGAAAACGACTTATCTGAAGAAGCAGTGGTGTTCATTTAAGTATTTTAAGTTTCTATTTTTAATTGATCATTTCAGTTCATTCTCCCATTTCTGAAAAATGACTCTGGTTTGTAATTCCCTACATCAGTGGTTCTCAAACTTTTTTTTGGCGGACCACTTGAAAATTGCTGAGGGTCTTGGTGGACCACTTAATCTCGATTGTCAGAAAAAATAAATCAAGTGCAGGGTCAAGTACAGATATTCTCGATTATTCCACAACCTTTCTGTGGACCACCTGAATGGAGCTCATGGACCGGTGGTGGTCCACAGACCACAGTTTGAGCACCTCTTCCCTAGATTACCTCTATATCTTTTATGAAGTTAGATGCAATACTTACTATGCTCCAAACTCTTGAAAGAGAATCTGTTTTTTAATGAGATGACATTTTTCATGATTTGGCCGCTTGATTTGGAAGCTCCTACAAAATCTTTGGTTAAATATCTTACATATGAAGTAGAATTGATGGCTTGTTGCTCTTTACATTGTTATTCTGGTATTATTTCTTCTAACCTCACTATCTGTAATAATACCTCATGGTTAATGTCTGATAAGACTTGTCTGTGGTATCTATTTCTCTAACACTCTTGGTGCATCTACACGTGTCATTAAGGCAATGTGATAAACTCCAGCGCAGTTTGTGCCAGAGAAAACTGCTCCCAGGCACAGCATTTACACATGCACCCAGGACTGTAGCAGTTTGAGCCAATTTTATTTTTATTAAAAAATTTTTTGTCTCATATTGTAATGAAATAGAAATTCTGAATCCAGAATGGGTACTTCTCTGCAAAGTGCTATGAGCTTCTTATCTGTGGAATTTCATAGAAGAGTCCCACTTTACCAAACAGCATTGTATTAAAATAACATATAGTAGTAGGAAACAAAATAATTGCCCAGCCATTTCCACCCCTTATATAAAAATACAATTAGTTGGTGACTACTTACTGTCATACACCTTTTGTTATTATTTTAGCTGTGGCCTTTTATAAGTCAAACAAGCAAGTATCCTATCTCTCAGGCAATTGGCCCAAGCTTATTTATGTTTCTGGGTAAAAGAAAATTTAGTGTCTGTAATTAACTGTCATAATTTTCTTTAATTTTTACATGTTACAGGTTCCTTTGTAGGAGAAACAGAGGTTTCTAATTGGACCTGTCTGGGGAGATAACATAATGATGCACGACAGGTTTTTTTCTTACTGCTCTGGGAAGAAAATCCCAACCAAACACAAGTAGCATAAACATCAGTTTTCAGATAATCCAATAACTTTGAGGTTGCCTAAAATATGCTTTTACACATTGACACATTTGATAGCAACTTTGTTATCCATCAGTTTTATACTTGCTTTCTAGTTTCATCTTTTTTATTACTGTTGTGCTGTTAGAAAAAGCTGTGTTAGTCTGAACTCTGAATCAGTTAGGGCAGGGGTTGTCAACTGGGGGTATGCGTACCCCCAGGGGTACTTGGAAAGGGGCTAGGGGTACATGCAGGAAGGTGGGGACGGAGTGGTGCCACCCACCACTCCACGCCGCCACCTCCCATGAGTGGGGGGGGGTGAGGGCAGTGGCTCCCCTCTGTGGGCTGCACCGCGGGGGGGTACCATCCACCACCCCATGCTGCCGCCACATGCAAGCCCCACCTCTCCCTCCACCAGAAGTGTATCCAGAAGGAGTACACTCCTTAAAAAAGGTTGAAAACCCCTGAGTTAGGACATTTATGCACATGTGCCCAGAGGCTTATTGAACAATCTTCAGATAAAGCACCCCCATCACCATTATGAAGCATGGGGACACTGATGCATGAAATGTGGGAGGCTGCCAAAGCATGGCAGTTGCCATGCTCCAGCAGACTAGGTTAATCGAGTTTGCTCCAACACATTGGAATTACAGTGCGTTGAAGCAGCCTCCCTGCTTGTGTATAGGCACTCTTTGTTTCTAAGTTGCCATGCTGCCCTACCTTCTGCCTTTAGTCTTAATATTAATCTTTGTTAACCTTAATCTTTGTTAGTCAGGTATAACAATTATGCTAATTTATATTTTCTTTATCAGTCTTTTGTCTTACGCAGTTGTTTTACTTCAATATTAGTAATGATAACTAATCAGTTTAAAAGAAAATACTAAATAGTGAATCTTCCTTCTGTGCAAGTATTGTAATTTGTTATATTTTACCAAATACTTCAAGTAATGTAGGATGCTAGAGCACAGCCACCCCAGGAGTGCCAGAGATCACAGTTTTAGTCTTTTATGAGCAACATCATTTAGAAATATTTGACACCATAAGAATGATTGAATATCAGCTTATTAGCATGATTAAATTGCTCTTTAATTTGCTTTAGAAATACAAGCCTGGTCGATGTGATGATATTTTAAAATGGAAGCCTCCCAGTCTGAATTCTGTTGATTTTCGCCTAAAGATAACAAAAATTGGTGGAGAAGGGTATGTAAACTTTTTCACTTTTTAAATATGATGTAAAACATTCAGTTGAGTGCTTCTTAACAGCAAGTCTTTCTGTAATATGTTTTGAGCTTTTCTAGATTCAGTCCCTGCTTTATCAGTAGTGTTTATTCACAAGAAACATAGCTAGTTGTTTGATTAACAGTTGGTATTGTACCAAGAAAATGAATAACTGATCTAGTCATTATAGATGTAGTTCTTATAATTGAGTTTTCCAAATATGATGTTTTGAAAAAGTCATTCTATTCTGTAATATCTCTTTGGTACTTAAACATTAAGACATCTGTGGCTTCTAACAGATTTGGGAGGGGGGTGTTGGGAATGAAAAGAAATGCACTTTACTCGTTTGACCCTGCTCCACAGCATCTGTATAGATTGGACACTTCAGCAGAGCTTTTTGGGACTTTTTTCTAAAGCTGATTTGATCAGCTATTTGATAAAAATGCTAAAAAAAGCCCTGCTGAAGTGCCTAATCTATACGGGCATTGGGCAAGCCAGGTCAAACTAATGTGATGCCTCTTCTGGGCATGTGCTGGGCAGTGCTGAGTTTAGAGTAAAGTGCTGTTTTCCAGGTCGTTTTACATCTGTAAGCAGCTATGTTATCTTAAGTTCTTAAACCAACTCTGTGGCATTTTTTGCAAAGTTAAAAATGCCATACACCAGATTTAATCTGTTTTATCTGTCTGTAGTTGCGCATAATTACAAAACAGTGAGCACTTGCTCAAAATCTTTAATTAAATGTAGCAAGTAGTTTTTCACTTCAGTTATTCTTCAGTATGTCATCTTCAGCACCACCAAACCTTCATGAAGCAGGGAAAAGCTTCATGGCTCAAAATATTTAATTGCCTTTAAATTCTATTTCTACGTTTCCATATTTTTTGAGTGCAAATGCTGCTTGTAAATTGTATTAATGTATAAAGCAGTTAGAGCTCCCCTGGATAATGATTTTTTGAAAGTCATTAGATAATGCTTACCATGGAATAGATTTTGTTTAAAATAGCTATTTGTGGATATTAACGTCTGATATTCATTTCTGCTGATGGTTTGAAATACTGACATTTAACTTTTCTCTATGCCACTGGCAACTGACTGCAGTTTAACAGTTAATACATATATTACTAATTGTTCCAGTGAACAGACTTAAATGGTAACAAAACACTTCTTTTATAATACCACATATACAGAATCTGTATATATCTTAAAGACATAGAGAATTTACAGAACTTTATACCTGTTAATTCTGAGCATGACACAAGATCAGAATAAAATGCATTTGGATTTTTGTGTTGGAATACCGAGTATTCGCTACCCCATGGCAGAACTGTTCCTGGGTGGGAATAAATTAGAATATATAAAGTTAGCTTTTGAGAGGCAGATGTTTTAGTTTTAAAATAATGCTATGTTTATTTTGCTCTATTTTAAAGAATATTGATAGTAATCACAAATGTTAAACAGGATAATTTTTCATAATGAAAATTTATTTCAGTACTCTTGGGTTTCCTGCTAAAGCTTAAAAAATGTTATAGTGATGGTCCATAACATCCAAACCAGCAGCCAAAATCACTCATTTTATATTAAGTCAAGTATTTATTTAATGAGTTGACGCTGATCTTGGACAGGCATTTATCGTCACTTATTACCAAGGATTTGGGTTTTCCATTTCCCATGGAAAAACAGAAAAAAATGCAGATTTCCCCCTTTACACAAGTAAAACACAGATTTTTCATTTTAATGGAGAAATGCACACATTTTTCACATTTGCAAAGAGCTCTCTGCAGGCTGGAAGAGTTCCAGCCTGCAAGGGGCTGAGGGGAGTGGGAGGAGGGCGGTCAGGCAGGGGATATATGCACATGACTGCCAGGCAGCCTGTAGAGCAGCTCCTGCAGGTAAGTTTGGCAGGAGGGAGTGGGGAGGGGGGATTGAGGCCCCCATAGGGAGGGAGGGAGTTAGGCAGGGCTGGGGTGGCTGCCCACCCGGGCAGTGTGGGGGGCTTGGGGCCCAGGGCTGGAATGCACAGCCACAGGTCCCTGGTGGGGATGGGAGCCATAGGCGGCTTGGGGGGAAGGGGGACTGGCTCCCTACCGCTATGCACACTCCTGTGGGAGCCTGGGGGGAATCCATGCCCCCCAGATCTGTGCACAGGGTGGGGGCAGATGCAGGCTGCCCTCTGCGGGCTTGGGCTCCCAACCCTGCTGCCCTCCCCCAGGGCCTCCGTGGCCCAGCAGGCCATGGCAGGTAGAGCAGGGCAGGGAGGCTCCTTGCTGCTGCGAGCCCCACATTGCCCTGGCAAGACTTCCCCTGCCTGCCCTGCAGCAGCGGAGGTGGTAGCACAGGGTTGTGCCCCTTGCTGCTTCGGAGTGGACAGGCAGCACATCCCCAAGGCAGTGCCAATCTCCCAGCAACAATGAGCGTCCCTGCCCAGCCCCACTCTGCCCTGCCATGCTGGGTCCTGCATGCTGAACTACAGAGGCTCTGAGAGAGGGAAGGGGAGCAGGGTGTGAGCCCAAGCCCGTGATGGGCAGCCCGCCCTCATCCCACGCTCAGATCTGGAGGGCGCAAGCCCCACTTGCCTCCCCTCAAGAATGCACTCAGTGGCGGGGAGTCAGCCCCACCCCCAGCCAAACCTTCCTCCAGGAGTGCACTCAGTGGCAGGGAGCCAGTCCCCCCAGCAAAGGCCACAGCAGGCAACCCACACTTACCCTGCCCCCCATGGGCTCCACTTTGGTGATGCTGCTCACAGGGTGCGGTGGGGGGGAGCCAGACTCCACGCTCGGCTACACTGTAGCAGCCAGGGCTTGGGTGGTGCTGTGGACCTGGGTCCCTGGCCCTGTAGCCCTGGCAGCTGGGGGCCCCCTTCAGCAGAGCTGGGGCAGGCAGGGGCCTGTGGGTGGGGAGTGAGGGCCACCAGCAGGGCTGAGGGAGCTGTGGGGGCGAGTGAGGGACACCAGCAGGGTTGGGGGGTTCTGGAAGGGGAGTGAAGGCACCTGTAGGGCTGGGGGGCTGTGGCTTGGGAGTGAGGTGGCTTGACCTGCATTCTGTGAGCTAAGGGGCAGAGGAAGCTCTGATTTTCCATGATAAAAGAACCCCCAAATCAAATGCCATAATTTATAGGTATTTAGAATGTATTTTATTATAGTGATTGAGGCAGTGGTAGGCTTGTAAATTGCTTTAACATTGTAAGTATATCTATAGAAAATTGTGTTCAATTGACATCTATATGTATAGTGGTGTTTCTTTTTAATTGTGGATTTTGGAGGTTTTTATCAGAGAATCTGCAATTTTTTCATCAGAGAAAACCAAGTTCCCTGCTTTATTATTGTATTAACTCAATTAACTAAATCTAAGATGTGGTTTTCATCCAGATAACTTGGGGTGGGGGGTAAGGTTGTCTTAAATTTGAGTACTAGCTTGAGGCAGATGGCAGCTGAGCTCCAGGGAAGGAGGCATAGGGCTAGAGGCATTGAGCGGGAACTGTGTGGGAGAGATTGCACCATCTGCCCCCCCACCCCCTCAGTCTGCTTCACCCCCTTTACCTTGTACTCTGGCTCTGGCCTCTCTAGTCATGAGACAGGATCAGGCTGGGCTGGAGCCAATGACTGTCTTGGAGCTGGACAAGAGCAACTGAAGGTAAACAGGGGAATGGGTCAGGGACAGGAGGGCAAGAAGCTTGGGGGACGGATGGCAGGAGGTGTGAAGACAGGCATTCGGTGTGGGGGGGGAGCAGTGGGCACCTGGCAGGGCAGGCAGTAGGCACAAACATGGGTGGGGCAGGGAGCAACATAGCAGGGGCCAAGTGCAGTGGGGGCAGGTATCAGCGTGGGCAAGTAAGTGGCAGAGGGCACAGGCATGGTGCAGGGCAAGGGGCAGGAGGGACACATGGTGTGGGGGAGGGCAGTCTGGCCTCTCACACCCTGCCTCTGCTTTCCCTGCCACAGCAGTGGGGGGGGGGATGAATTTAAGATGACCTTCCAAAAATTAGATTCTATGCATGGAAAATTATAATGAACGTAATTTTCCATGTATAGAATATAATTTTTGGAAGGAGGGGGGTGTCTTAAATTCAAAGTTGTCTTGAATTCAGGTAAATACAATATATTTGGTAGAACATGATGCTATTTGATTAGAACTGAAAATGTTACCAAACAACTCTTTCTATAATATTAGTCTAAAATTTGTTGGATTCAGGATAAATGGCTAAATAAATAATTGGCTTGTTCCAATATGGAATGTGTAATGTTTTCTAACATGGAAAATGTTTATGATCCTTCAGCTACAGAAAATGAATATTTGTTGTCACTTTTCAGAAGCAACTTTCTAAATTTTTGGACATACAAGCTTTTATATAACTTTGATCTTATGTTTCCCACTTGCTAGGTTTGCATAGTCAATTTAAGGAGCACCTTTCTAATTTCAAATGCAACACAAAAATGAACAGCTTAGAATTAGAAATCTGGATGTCCTGACCTGGGCTTGTTGATTATTCAGCGTACATATAATACACCCTCTTTCTTTTCCCCTAGATTATGCTATGTTGAATCACATGTAGCAATTAACTGAAGTTTGTAACAAGCTTACAGATACCTAAAAAAGCAATTTAATGAAGTACTGAATAAAAATATTAATTTTCAGAGTTTTATAAAGAAATATTTATGGTGAGTAATGACCTATAAAATCATAGCTTCTGACCAATTAACCACAAACTATGTAGAAAAATACCATGGGATTCAATGCTTCAGTTGTTCACTTGATTATTCCATTATGGCTTGGCAAAACCTTCCCAATGTAAAGTTATTTGAAAGGGATAACTGAATTATAGGATTTTTTGATGCTAGCTGCAGTTCTAAAAAGGATAGCATATAATTTTATAGTTTGAAAAGGCAGCTTTAAGCCTCTGAGCACTGTTATAATAAAATGACTATGAAAAAAGCTCCTGTTAGATTGTGTTCTAATAAAACTAGAAAATCTGTTCTGTTGAACTGAAT